CAAATTAAGTTCTGTGGAGCCCGACTCAAGTTGGACTGCCTCTCGGCCCAGCCTTATGTGTTCCTCTTGGAACAATAGACGACTGAGTACAAACCGGCCTTTTCATTTGGCCACCGACCCTGCCCGCTATTCATGTGCCCTCATGATTTTAGCCTGGGCCAAAAACATTCCGTGCCCCTTGGGAGTTTGAAAGAGTAAGGTCTAAACGGAAACATTACTGCTTATTAGCATATCTTCTTATACTTGATAATTAAGCATGGGAATCACCAAATACATCAAACTAGTGCAGTACTTTTGGGGATTTGCCTGCTTGCTGGGGACAAAAATGTAAGGAGCAGGGCTGTTATTGCGGTAGACAATTGGCAGATGGTGAAAGCCTTGCTACTAATTTCCTGGAAAGTAAAGAGGAAACTTCCTTGTCCCAAATTCATAAGAAAAAGCTAAGGGGGGTAATCCAAATTTTATGCTTTGGTGTGCAAGTCTGTGCGAACACGAGTGCGCAGGGAGTCGCAGGTTTAAATTTGGAGCCTTTGGGTGTGAGCACTGCAGTTGGAAGTTTGGAAGAAAGCAGGGAACAGTGTTGACACAATCAGATATGAGCATTTTCTGTAGGACCAGTATTGCTCTGTCCGTTTATCTTCACGCTGACAAACAATAAAAATCCACCACTCATGGGCCAATGGAACATTGGATTCTTGCCCACCCCGCCAGAACGGGTAATAACCCCTACACGTAATGCGTTTTGTAGGGGGACTTGACCCAGGGGGTCAGCTCTTTCCACTGCGCTGCCCACGTCCTATCTGTCGTGGCACCGTTACAAGTTTTTCTTCTTTGTTTTTCTAGAACATGTAAAATTGAGCTCCATATAAATCTTGCATATAAAGACGCCAAAAGAAAATAAAAATATGAAAAGGTTATGAAGAAAATTAAACAAACCACTGACTCTTTCCCCTGCTTTAAGGGGCGAGAAGAATCTGGATTTTGATTACCGGCCCCATGATAGAATAAAAACAGACTAAATTAAACAAATTTCTAATAATGCAAGCTCCCCGTTTTCTTTTACGTAATCATATTCAATCAGTGTTCCCAGGGATCTGAATAATGCAGTGTTAAAAACTTAGTAGCCAAAGGACAGTTGTCGCGGCTGCCTTAATCGAGTTCAAAAAAAACAAACGACCACTGCGACAGCGGTCGAGCCAACGATCTATAATCACTTTTCCACATACTTTGATGGGAATCCGGTGGGTCCAAGGTGGTTGCACAAAGTAATTTTGGCTTGATTCTCACGAGATGAGATGAGATGACACGGGTCTTCTTCACTCAATTCGGTTACATCAAACAGAACACTGGAATGCGCGGCTTTGATTAATTACGTAAAGTATTCGCCATTGTTGCTTCGTGACTTTACCTTTGTCTCAATGAATTACATTTGATGCGAAAGGGACTGAGGGCAATGTGGTTTAATAGATTTAAGAATGAAGTGTTATTTGATTAAGATGATATTTATATAAAAAAATTATAATTAATAATATTATTTATTACTGTATTAAATAAAATAACGTTTGTTAAAATAGAATTTTAAGTTTTTAACCAATACGCATGAGTAACCTCTAACCCACCACACTAAAAAATGAAGAAAACGATATTGTCTACCTTTCACATATGCTCACCCTTTCGACCTTATTCATGGAAAAGTGACAACAAGTAACTTTAACACCAAGATTTAGCTTCTCAAATATTACTCGGTTCAACAAAAAAGTATAGGAAATCTTTTATAGAGAAAAATTAGGTTTTAAATTTATAAAGGGAGCTTAACTTTATATATTTTAGTGTAATTTAGCAAAACATAAATTGCATTATGAGTTACTGACTTAATTGTTACTACGTGATCTTTGATCAAACAATATATTCTAACAGGCGTAAATAATATGAATTAAATAATTAAACATCAATGTCGTATTGATATGCATTAAAGTAGTGATAGTCCTATATCAATTAAATTGATATTATTTTTGACATATAAATATAATAAAGATCTCTTAATATATTTCAATTAGTTTTAAATTAGATATCCATTTTAAACTTTAAACATGATATTAGAGTAAATATTATCTTCATTAGTTGATCTTTTTATTATTATTTTCTTCCTTGATTTATGTCACATGATAAGTTAGTAACTTTTACACAAAAGAATATTGAAATAGTAACAAAAAAATCTTATATCTATTAAATTAAGAGTGTCTTGGTATTATAATAGGTGATATTCCGATTAGTCTTTCTTTCGATTCATTTTATATGATAAGTTTATAGTTTTTACACGTGAAAAAGTATTAAAGTGATAATAATTTCATATAAACTAAATTGAAGATATCTTTTAACATAGGTGTATTTTTAAAAATAACCTTTAAAGAGAAGATGTTTTCAAAAATAGCCTTTAAGATAATTTCAACTATTTTTAGTCAAATTAAAAAAAATTACTCTTAATAAAATTACACGCCATGATGTTACACGTCATATATAAAAATATATTACATGCCATAGTTAAGTTGTTACACGTCATATTGAAAAAAAATACTGTTGTTATATACTATAGACAAAAACACGTTACATGCCATTGTTAGATTATTGCACACTATGTTGAAAAAAAAATATTATTGTTACACGTCATGCATAAAAATATGTTATACACCATAATTAGAAAAAATGTTACATGCCATATTAAAAAAAATATATTGTTGCCATGTTGAGAAAATATTGTTACACATCATATTTAAAAATATTTTATTACACTTTAATACTTAAAATGTTATTACTTACGAATCAAAATTTCAAATCCTCTCAACTCTCTTCATTTTTTTTTTTACAATTTAGTACCAATTAAAGTGTTTTTAATATGTTTTCATAAATCAAAACATAAATTTCTTATGTAAAACACCTATTTTGACTAAAAATTAAAAAAATTCTTTTAAAAATCTAAGTTTATAAATTTCAAATTCTTAAGTTTATTGGTATCTAGGTTCTAAATTAATCCAATTAAAAGGTATTTCAAATATCTATGATCATTTTTACAATTTTAATTTTATCCAAAATACCTAAAAATCAAAATTTTTAAATAACCACCCACCCAAGCACATCAAAACTATCGTTTGGTATCTTGAAAATATAAAAAAGAAAAATCTAAAAGCGGGAGAGAGAAATCGATAAAATTAGAGAGAGTGGGATGGTGAGAGAGAGAAATTAAAAGCACAAATAGAAAAAAATTGTGATGAATGATTAAATTTATTTTGATAATTATTTTTGAAATGCTCTTATCAAAGAAAAGTATTTTTCATAATTTCCTCTTTAACATATAAATATAACAAAAATTTCTCCACCTTTAGGATGAATGTTCATCTTAAAAATCCAAATCAAAAAATATTATTGTCATTCATTAGTTCTTTTTGTGAGTTTTATTTATTTATATCACATGATAAGTCTGTAATTTTTATACATTAAAAAGAATTAAAATAATAATAATAAAAAATCTATAATCTTATACATGAGAAAGAGCACTGAAGTAGTAACAAAGAAATAGGTCCCTAATCCATCTAAGCTATTTTATATTACATTTTCCTTTTTCTCCCCTTTCCCTTTGTCTACTCTTTTTTCTTTTTCCGAGCAGGGATTTTCTACGTGGTTGTGCAGTTCACTCCCAGATCTGAGTTTATCTTAGCATTTTGGTTAATGAGGAAGGGATCTGCCTTTACTTTTGACTGATCAAAGAAAATCACAGGTATGGTTTATAAAAACGACCCCTACACAAAGTTAGAAACCCGCGCTTTGGAATGGACGGTGGGTTGAGTGAGATTCTTATGACTGGAAGGTAAGAACGATCGGGTTTGGAGCCCGTACCAATTTCTTGTGATATCTGCCACATGCTTCCCTCCTGTTAATATTCAACTTTTGACTGAAAATAAGAGAAATAACAAAACTAGAATGTTAATTGATTTCCAATTTTTATTTTTATTTTTTTTAAAGGCACAAGATTGAGGGAATTTATTTTTGAATTTTTAGATAACGTCAAGTCAAGATAGCATAGATTAGAGGGAAAGGAGGTTGAAGACGAGTAAGGAAATGGATAAAAGAATAAGAGGGAATTAACTGCCCCCAACGACCCCCCCACCCCCATAAAAGGAGAACTTTTTCATTTTTAATAAGCAATATTAAAAATCAAATCAATTTTTTAAATAGGCATTTAAGTCATTTAACCTTCAATTGAGTCAATTGAATTCATTACAATTCATTTGATAAAATAATTTAATTAAATCAGATAAAAATATAAAAATTCAAATATCCGTTACAAAATAATCCGATAGATAAAATTATCCATGAATGCAAAAAAGCTCCATTTATTTAGTAAACAAAATCTCTTTGCATGTATGAAAATCTCCATCGATTCTGTTTTAGTTGATACTTTTGTTATTTATTAATTTTTTAAAAAATAAAAAATTAAACAAGACATTGACGAAAAGCGTGAGCTAAATATTTTGGTGCTTGGATTCCTTAATATTGTTAGGTATACAAGTATTTTATAATAATAATAATAATAATGAAAGAAATGAATTAAAATTAAGAATAGACAAAACAGTGCTGCAAAATCGAGTGGGGGAATTAAATGAGTTGGGGAATACTTATGCAAAAAAAAAAGAAATAATTTAGGAAAAACAAAAGTCGTACGGAGATGAGCCACAGAAAATGAAAAGGCCAAAATAATTTTATTTTTTATTTTTTTTTTAAAAAGAAGAAGCGTATGTGTGGTGATGAATTGATAATTCAAAAAGCCGCTAAAAGGTACGAGCCGAGGAAACAGACAGACGGCAGAGAGAAAAGGGAGGGGGAGGAAATTTCCATTCGTACGGAAATTAGTAGTGAAGCAGTGAGGGGTAAAATGGTGAATTCGCATACAAAATGGAGGGGCAGCTTTGGTAACTTACGCAATATAAGTATATATAGAGTCCAACAGCAGCAACGTCAAGGCGGTGGCCAAAGCTGCGCAGAAAAACTGAAACGGATCCCATCTGCCCTTTGGTATATTGAATTGCTAGTTACTAACCAAAACAGTCGACAGCTAACCGAAGCTGTGAAAAGAGAGAGAGAGAGATTCAGACGGGGTGAAACAGAAAGAGACTGTTTGGCTACCAGGATTTTCCAATTTCCCCCCAGCCAGCATTGTTATTCTTTTCTAGTGCATTCAATATTTTTTCTCTGTCTGTACGTTATTCAATCTTTTCTTCAGGTTGTCCTTCTTCTTTTGATTACTATTCTATATCCAGAAAGTTTAAAAGAATCTATTTTAATTTTATTATCTCTCATTGATTGGAAAATGCGAATTATCCGGAAATTCTAATTAATTATATTGTTAGTTTTGTGATCGACATGTGTGTATTCCGGAAGTTTTATTTGCTGGAATCTCTTCTTAGGCATTCATGGAAAAACTCAGTTCTTTTTAATTTGTGAATTAATGAAAGATAACTTCTATTGATGCGGTTCAGTTATTTTTCTCTTTTTTTTTTTGAAGGAAATCCGCGGACCGAACAGAGGATAACTGAATTGTTGTAGTAAGCCGGAATTCGCACTCTTAAGATTTGGATTAGATCGCATGTCGGCTTTGGAATAGCGTTTGAGGGAGTTAGTATTGGTAAAGAGAAGAGATGGAACGGTTTCTGTCGGCGGTGATGGAAGCTCCGGCGGCAGCGGGAGGAGAGTCTTTACTAGGAAGCATAAAGATAGCAGTTTTGCCAATAGCAAAAGTATTCACCATGTGTTTCCTGGGCTTTCTAATGGCTTCCAAGTATGTTAATATCTTACCTGCAAACGGCAGGAAGCTTTTAAATGGGGTAATTTCATCCATTCCCTCTTTCTTTGAACTGCCTTTTTTCCGGAAATTATTTTTCTGGTAATCTGTCTCCAAAATATGGGGATTTTTGTGATTCTATTTTATTTATTTTTTCAATTTAACTTGGCAAATACTTACTTAACATTCCATCAATCACATTGCAGTTAGTGTTTTCGCTTTTGCTTCCGTGTTTAATATTTTCTCAACTTGGACAAGCTGTTACTCTACAGAAAATGCTGGAGTGGTATGAATTAGTTTTCTTCTTTCTTGCCTTTCATCTATATCATCAAAAGTCAATGGTTTATCTTAATCGTCTTTTCTATTTGATCGTGTTACAGGTGGTTCATTCCTATGAATGTTGTTCTAGGCGCCATCTCTGGCTCACTAATAGGTTTTGTTATTGTAACCTTAGTCAAACCTCCATACCCATACTTCAAGTTCTCAATCATACAAATTGGAATTGGTAAGCTACTGCTAGTATAAATCTGCATAATCTTAATGCAGCAAATATATTATCAGCCACATGACATGTTATTGGTGTGCTTATTCACAGTTGATGGTGCCAATATATCATTGCAATTTTTTATTTTTTGCAGGAGATATTCTTTTATAAATTTGTTTGAAATTGGAGTCTGAGTGCTTTAGCTTTGTGCTTTATATCTATGTTGACAATCAAGCATGTCAAGTAAAATATATTCTTTGACACTTGATGCAGGAAACATTGGGAATGTACCACTTGTTCTGATTGCAGCTTTATGTAGAGATACATCCAATCCTTTTGGTGACACTGAAACATGTAGCACTCAGGGAACTGCATATATTTCATTTGGACAGTGGGTATGTTTACTTTAACCTATTAATCTTATCTGGCAACTTTAGGCATAGTATATTATGCTCCAATTTTGATGGATTCACCACACATATGGAGATGTATATTTATGCGCTGAACTATATGTTTTTGTGCTGATGAAAAATCTGTTTGGGCTTTGGTTTTCTGACCACCTATCCTTACAACTATATTTTTCGGAAAATAACCATTTTAAGTTCAAAGAGGTGGGGAAGAAAAGGAACAAGAAGCTAAGACAGTTCTTGATGGCCTGTAAAGGGCCAAAATCTGGTAGACATGGACTACCCCCCGCCTTCCTTTCCTTTCCCACTCTTAAAATGAACAAAGGAACAAGGACAAGAGGAAAAAGAAAATATAACTAATTTTAATATGTTTTGGTTTTCTCTAACACCAATTCAACTGTTTGTTTGGTAGCTTTGATTTCTTTATCTTAAGTAATGGACATTGTATGAATGAGTTTTGACCTATAATTTATGTTAGGTTGGTGCAATCATTTTATACACATATGTATTTCATATGTTTGCCCCTCCCGCGGAAGGTACCTTTGACCTTGAGGATGTAAATCTCCCCCTTAAGAACCCTCCGAAGGATGCCTCTCCTGAGCAGGTTCCGTTGCTGATGCAAGAGGCTGCTGTAACGGATTCAGATAATTCAGGGAAAGGAAAGGTGAGGGTCATGTTTATTTGATTTCAGCTATATGCTTTGCTTCCAGTGAACTATTTTCTTATTTTGCTAAAATTTTACATGCCTGTTTGCTATTTTCAAGGAACCTTTCCTGATTGAATATTTGGGATTTTGGTGCAGATTAAAAAGTTTCTAGTTTTTGTTTATGAGAAGTTAAAGATCAAGCAAATCCTTCAACCCCCTATTATCGCATCAGTAAGTTTCACGTCATTTTGTTGGTTTCTCTTTCATGAACTCGTCACTGGCTCATAGCGGCAAACTGCTAGTTTCCCTTTCAACAAATTCCAAGTCACTGTCAAATCTCGAATTTGTATTTGGTAATGCATGCACTATAATAATCTGAATACTTGTAAGTTGTAATGAGAAATGGTAAAAAAAATTTTCAACACATTGTTGAACTGATTTTTCCATCCTTAATTCAAGTGGCTGGGTAAAAAGCCAAAAGAGCACTCAAGCTGGATGTCAATATTCCTAGTCCACCTGTGCTTGTTGTTTGCTCTCTTTGTTGTTGGTTGGCCGTTTTTTAGTTGTGGAGTCGGAATGTCTGGGTGTGTTGTCTCTGTTCTTGTCTTTAGCATGGAGCACAAGGTTTCAACAGGTCAAGAAGAGAAAGACCAAGAAACTATTGTTATCAGTTTTTTTTCTTCTTCCAATAACCTAAATATTTCTTTCAGGGACACGTGGTGTTTGAAGTTTCAATGTTTCAGTGTTTTAGTTTGTTCCACATCCATTTGGGTGAACAGTAACATATTTCTCTTTAAGGAAGTGTTTTTTTTTTTACCCTAAATTTGGCCTATAAATGTACTTGCTGCAGATCCTAGCCATGGTTCTTGGTGCAGTGCCGGTTCTAAAGAGATTAATATTTACAACTGATGCTCCACTTTATTTCTTCACTGACAGCTGCATTATTCTTGGGTATGTTTTGCATAATTTCATGAAAATAAGTTGCTTCTTATTTTGTAGTTGAACTTGGTAAGAGTATGTTGGTTATTTTTCTATTAATGCCTGTGTCTTGGTATTTGATTTCATCATGGTTTAATGATGTTTGATCTACAGGGAAGCCATGATTCCATGCATTTTGTTAGCATTAGGAGGCAACCTTGTTGATGGTAAGTTAGACATCTTTGTGGCTACTGTTTCATTGTATATCTCCACAGAAATTTGTATAGTGCTATTTGCGTTTAGGTCTTGTTCTTATACCATCCGCATTGTTGCCACATGGTTTTAAGCGTAGGAAACAATTTTGTTGTAATTTTTCTTATTGATGTTTCATGCTTCTAACTCCATGTTTAGGGGAAGAATTTTGATGAATTCTGGCCTTCCTTGTTTCATCTACAGGACCAGGGCCAGGAAGTTCAAGAATTGGTCTACGAACACTTGTTGCTATTATTATTGGGCGTTTATGCTTGGTGCCTCCTGCAGGACTTGGAATTGTAACACTGGCTGATAAGCTTGGTTTCCTTCCTGCTAATGATAAGATGTTCCGATTTGTCCTACTCCTTCAGCATACAATGCCAACATCTGTCCTTTCTGGTAGAACCTGAGTTCTCAGTCTAAAGATGTTTTTGGAAACTGAAGAAATTCAAATCTGTGCATATATAAGATATAGTATTGCCTCATATGAGCAGTCTAAACCATAATTATATTAGGTTAATAAGAAGCATATATCTAATTTCAATGGATTACTTCTGTTTAGCCTAACATAAGGTGAATCAATGATTCTATCTGATTTAAATGTTGGAAAACTCCAACTTATAATAGTATCTTTTGACTTTTTTGGTTCATAATATGAAAGGGAATTGTGCTGATTTTACTTTCTCGCTTCTCTGCCTGTTTGCAGGTGCTGTTGCTAATTTAAGAGGTTGTGGAAAGGAGGCAGCGGCTGTGCTGTTCTGGGTTCATATTTTTGCAGTTTTCTCCATGGCAGGATGGATTATTCTCTATCTGAACATACTCTTCTAAACTTTGCCTAGCCAATCACACTGCATTTAGAAGCAGAACCAGCAGTTCCTTTCCGTATTTATTTCCAAGCTGGTCAGTGTTAATAGCCTATGTAGAGTAGTTGGAATCCTCAAATTCTTTGGAAGGCAATTGCAACCGCTTATGCCAGCCCTGCCAAGTCGCAAAGAAGCATGCCTGTGCTTACAGGAGCTGTGGCGAGGTGTTTCTCAATTTTTCCACTCGGTATCATTTGTTTGTTAATATCAGCGGCTTGTTATATGTTCATACCCTGTTACCATCTTAAATGGGGATGGACTTGAATTCAGTATGTTATAATATTAAGCTATTTAAGAGTAATCTTTGTGAATCCCTAGGCTTCCAGAGGCTGTGGTAGCTGATGAAATTTCACGAAGTGTAGAAATTTGAAATTGGAATTCCATCATTTTATGTGCTTTTAAGTCATCTCATTTTGCGTACCCAGGCCAGGCTGCTGTTGTTTCGACCCTTTTACTCCCAAGTTTGTTTTGCTTCTTACGTCTCCCAATTCCATGTTAGGATTCTCCATACCCTGATTAGACCTTTGAAATCGCTCGTAATACCCCACATCTGCTGGTAATGTTAGACACACAAAGCAGGAAAAATGAGAGATGGTAGACATATTCTTAGGAGAGAATCCTTGACAGACTGCATCTCCTGCACACTGTCCCCTAATATTCGCCTAATAACACCCTCCACTCAAATGCAAAACATAAACATTCGTACCCAAAATAACAGCTCAGAAGTAATCGATAAAAGGCAATTCGGTTTTGCAACACTGATAAATCCAGTTGAATTGAAAGAAATCGTGGACAAGCACTGTACACTAGAAGAAACTATAACCATATCCAATTCAATTCCAGAGGCCAGAAGTAGTGATTAGAAGATACACAACAAACCCAAAAAATAATATATTTAATAAAAGATGCGAATGGCAAGATTTGCATTCACAACCATTCACAAGTGAAGACTACATTTGAATCTGGAAGAAAAAGTGATTGCCCACCAGATTTCTGAAACTTCTCAGAAAAGAGACCACCATCTCCTGCTCCTGCTCCCCCTTAAGTTTAGTGATGATGTATCTGGAACCTGAATTTGATGCTGGCACCCTGAAGGTAGATTGCTCTGGCTTGTTGATCCTCTTCTTCCAATTAGAGGTTTGCCCAACCATAACACAAATACAACACCAAGGATACCAACTAAAGGAGCAGCAGCTCGAAAAAGCCAATCCCGACCACCCTCCCTGGCAGAGCTACTGATGGCAGGATCCACATGTGGCACCTCCTGTAATCGACATGGACCACGTTCACAAGCTTCGTCTGCTTCAGCTTCATCAGAGTCATCATAGGAACTGTCCTCACTTGCATCTTGCTGCTGGATTTGATGTATCTCCACACTCTGGTTGATGTGCTGCTTCCCCTCTTCATAATCTTTGTCATCGGTGGGAAGCTCATAGCGGCAAAGGGGGCATGAATTCCGTGCATTCAGCCATGGCAAGATGCAAGAAGGGTGATAGACATGAAAGCAAGGAAGCTGGTTTACTTCAGTGCCAACGGGCAAAACATCCTTGCAGATTGCACATGCCAAACCATCATGCTTCTCATGTTCATCACTGACAATAACACAAGGCAGATTATTCACAAAAGATGCAGATGCAGGAGGTGCTCCTCTCCTTGAGCCATCAGTCAGATGGTCAAGCAGTTGTTCAAAGCCAGCCCTGGAGCGACGGAAATTAAAAACAGGCAGATTGGTTTCACTTGGACTTGAAATAAACAAATCTCGAAGTCCAGCTCTAGATATAGCAAACTCAACCACATCTTCCTCAGCATCAGCTTCTTCCCATTCATCATCATCACCCCCTTCATCTTCTTCTGGTTCATCCCAGTTCCATTGGTTCAGACCAGCATGCATTGGATCAATATCAGTGTCAGTGTCAATATCACTCCTATTGTCAGCTTGAACAAATACTTCCGTATCCAGGAAACTGTGACCATCCACAGAAGCATCCGAGTCCCCTCCATAAGTACTAAAAGATATTGCATCACTCTCACCCCGAAAGACCCTGTACTGACTAAAACTAACATTTGATTCACTCTCTCCATAAATAGAATCCAGGTTATCAAAACCATCACTTTCAGTATCAGAGACAACACGTTGCCATCTTCTAGAACCACTAGGAGTTGTACGGGAACTACTACGCTGTAATAACCTTGCAGTGGAACCACCATCCATAATTTGATCCTCAAGCCCAGAGACAGGGGATTGGTTCTGCCTCACCAGATTAATCATATGTGAAAAATGTTGTGAGAAAAGATTTTCAATTGATTCAGAACTGCTTTGCCTATTCCTTCTTCTTCGAGCTGGTTGTCTTCGATGAGAGTCTTGAGGGGGGTTAGCAAGATCCTCAAGCAACAAAAACTTGCAGTCCCCACATAGACCGACAGTTTCAAGGTCGTCTGTTGCCTCATAATCAGGTGCAAGACTTCTTCTACATAGAGTACACAAAGCTGGCTGGCCAGAGTGATCAACGAACAAACCACCCTCCATGTGGCCAGGAGAACCAGTCAAAGGCACATCTTGAGAAATTCTTTCTGAGTCTGCATCCATCCGTGCAAAGAGAAGAATCCAACAAGCGAAGGACAACTGAAAACCATTGCAAATGAGATAGATGAGGAAAAATCACCAAACGAATGCAATCAATCCTCTTCTATGCAACTAACAACAGGCAAAATTGGAAATGTGGCTCAAAAGGAAGGGAAAAGAGAAACCCAGACAACAGTAATAAAATAAAATGTTAGGAATAACATGGGAGCTTAGTGAGAGAAAGTGGTAAGAATGATGACGGGGTTAAGTCATAGATGTAAGCAAGAGAAAGAAGACGAGCATGCAGAGACAGTCAAAGCATTATTCTTTGACATACGATTGGATGCTTCATTGCTACTAATGCTTCATTGCTACTAATGCTACATATGCTTATCACAAAATGGGTACATTTTTTTTTTGGGTACATTTTTGGGGTGTTTCCAGGGGAATTATAAGAATTACTAGTAAGAGATACTTGCTCGGCAATAGAAAACAAAAGTTGCCATCATGGTAGCAACAGAGGAATCAACATTCAATATACTGATATCCTCTCTTCTGCGGAAAGGAATCTCGAATTGAACAATAAGAACGTGGATAGATTCATACAGGAAACACAATTAACGATGACAGAAAGCCGAAAATTAGAAAACCAAGCGCAAATGAAAAGCTTCTAGACATCAACGATTACCTGATGAGAAATCTCCGATCTGTAGATGCAATGAAAGAAGAAAGATGGTTAGGTTAGGACATAGGGGTGGAAATGAACAATTGAATTAGGGATCGGGGAAAGAAGGATCCCTGCGAAGGTGGGTCGATATTGTTATTAGAAAATGTTGGTTTCGGATTAGGGAAAGACTGAGAAACCAATGTGGGAAAGAGAAGACTAAGATGAGAGAGAGAGAGAGAGAGAGAAAGGACGAATGAGTCAATCAGGCATGGTTGAGTTCCACATCCAGTCATCCACGGCAGGACTCAGTGTGCATGCGGGGACCTTCGCACAGTTGAACCCTTCCGCCCTCCCTTTTTTCTCGCTTTATCTCCTATCCTACGCCTCCTTGTTGGGCCTTTTGATCAAAACCCTCTCAGCTAGAGGTGTCTCCACTTTCTTGCTTTCTTTTTTTACTGTATTTTTTAAAAATAAAATTTTAAATTTTGTTTATCATTTTTAAATTAAATAAAAAAAATAAAATTTTAAAATGAATATTATTAAAAAATATTTTTAATAAAATAATACCACCCTCGTTCATAGAAAGTCACTTCCAAAGAGAGAAAATGTAGACAAAAAAATTAATGAAAAGATTTTGTGTTATAACTCAAAAAGGGTATGAGAATTAATAATTGACTTTTTGAGCTGTAGAATGTAATGAGGATTAACTGATTAAGGATGTGATTTAACAAGCGTTAAATCCACGCTCTTCACAACGCGTCACATTGATCCGTGGGTTCAATGCTGCATAGAAGAGCTCGAAACATGTCCTGTGTTTTTACTCCTCAAAACCTCAGGCCCTCATAGAGTTGATGGTCATGGAACAGACATTCTTCGAAGCTGTATTCACACCCATTTCCCATGATTTCCTATCTTCGTTCTGAACCGATTCAGCTCTCGCTTGGGGATTAAGAAGAAAGTAAAACAGTTGTTAGTGGCTACCACTTGAAGCAAAACAGGATGTGAGGAAGCAAATGAGGACTACTGTTTGGGGGTTTTAATCCTTTTTCCCTGTCTGGAAAATTCACCGCATCTCTCATAAACAGAAAAACAATACCAATCCCTTAGCTGTAACCTCTTTAATATAATGTGATCACAAATCCCCTCTTGAGTTCAACTTCCTTTTCTCCCATTCCCTTGCCATTGTCTCTGTGTTTGGAATGGCCAGGTGGGTTTGTCATGTGCTTTCTCCATAGCAGTGATTAAATGGTAGCATTTGAGCAATGTGTCTGCTCTTTTCTTCTGCTCTTTTCTTGCTCTGCTGAATGTATGTCTCTGTGTGTGTATATATTTATTTATTTGTTTATGGGTGCAGCAGAAAAGTACGAATGTCCAAGTGGAAAGAAGGGCAGAGGAGGAGCCCGCGAATACCTGCATCGCATCCTTGCGAGGCCCAGCAATCGAGGCGCGTGGGTTGTACTGCTTTGGCTCCACCTCCACAGGCAACGGGTTTACAAGTGCAACAATCTCGCCCTCAGGAACAAGGACCAGCCTCCCGGACTAGGGCCAGGAAAAAGAGAAAACTCAGACCACTTGACGATGTGGCTGCTACTTCCCTTTCACCCTTTGCTCAGCAGGTGTTAATGTTATTTATTTCTTCACCATTTTCCTTTTTCTTTGTGTCTTTAAACCAGTCTTACTCCTTCAAATCAAACGATCAAAATTATATTTTTTTTTCCTTTTACTTGTGTGTGCAAGTACTAAGTACTATGAATGTTTGGGAGGGATTTGATGGGTAGTTGGGCAACGAGTGACACCATAAGGCTTCCTGAAATATGACAAAGCGTTTGTTAATTACAGTTGATTTGTCGTCATTTAGGTAATTAAGCAGTAAGGACAAAACAAGTACGAGCCAACCCACTAGGGCAAAGGGGACCCTCCTTTGCACTTGTCAACCCCTTCTTCACTCACCTTTCTTTCATGGGATTGGTTTTACCACCTCGTTTCTCTTATTTCTCCTTTTCTTTGCCATGCCCATTTCAGAAAGGTAATGTGCAGCCACTTCGTTTAGGTCATGCGGCCGTTGGTCACTCCTTAGGTCCTTTGGTGTTAGATTTTTGGTACTGACATAAAGGCAATCTGCCTCCTTTAGCAGCTATTGCGGCTTCTTTGATCTTAATTCCATTTCTTGATTTATATTTATATAAATATATATATATATATACACACACACCCTCGTTTCTGTTTTGCACTCAAAAGTGAAAAGTGAATCGTCAAATCCTTCCGAGATGCCTGGATTCCCCAAAATCTTGGTGTTGGGATTATTTGATTACAGGTTACATTCCTTAAGATAATAATTCACATCAAAACTCGAAAAGCATGCATAGCATTTCAACAAGCATAATGATCAAAAGTTCAGTTCTGTATAGAGGAGCTAATTTGTTAGTTGTTCGTGATTGTCAAAAGGAATATGGCTTGATTCTGATATTTTGGCTGGTGGCTTTACTAATTATATAGTATTAATCTAAGTTAAAAGGTCTCTAATCTCTATATGTTGCATAAATAATAATTTCAACCTCCAAGCCAAGTGACATGCAGGGCAGCGACCTACAAAGCCATGATGAAGATCATCCAATTAGTTGTGGTGAGCCTTGTGATTTTCTAGGAATTTAATTGTGAACTCTCTTTTTCTTTTAACATGATTAATTAGTTGTTTCTTATCAGATCAACCAACTGCCCAGGGTGGCAATAGCCCAAAATTTGATGATAAAGCGGCCTTGCCTGGTATCCTTATTTTCTATATTAAATTTCTTCAAATGTCCCATTATTTTAAGATCTTAATTAAATGCAGATATATTGTTCATCCTGACATAGATATTTTCGTACCAGATCAACCATCAAGTGTGCCATCTACCAGATGGATGCCAGAGAAACGTATACTAGAGCTCATTCTCGACATATTACAGAGGTGGGTCTTCTAAATGCATGTCTTCCAGGCATCAGCAATTCTAGTGTGATGGGTTGTGTACAGATCAAGAGTTAGCATTGTCAAATATTGTCAGAAACAGTAGTAGACTTACCATGCAAGAGAATGCTAAGTTTAGAATAATCTTGCATGAATGATATATTGATCTTTAAACCTTATCTTTCTGATATTAGGAGAGACACCTATGAAATATTTGCTGAACCCGTTGACCATGAAGAGGTATGCAATTAGTAGTTGGATTCAGCATTTAATCTTGTCAAAGATCTTTTCTCTTTTCATGAACCATGCTGATGGATTTTGCAACCATGACAAGGTTGAGGATTATTATGATATCATTAAAGAGCCTATGGATTTTGGCACAATGAGAGCTAAACTTCACGAAGGGATGTATATGAGTCTTCAACAATTTGAGGTGTGCTGTTTTCTCAGGAATTAGTTCTTGTTTCTTTGTTCTGAAGGTCTCTGTGTTTCTCTAGGCAAAATGTATATTTTTTCCATTGTCTCATTTGAGACAGCTAATGGAGCATCCAGCATTTTTTGTTCAAATTCAATTGTGATAAGTGTGAATTAAGCTCTTTGACTGTTGGACATGTTATCATATGCTTATCTAAATTGAATATGGAACATTTTATTGGTTGTCACTGATCACGTTTGGACTATTGTGCAGCATGATGTATATTTAATTTCCAAAAATGCAATGCATTTTAATTCCTCAGCAACTATATACTTCAGACAGGTACCAGTATCATCTAAGAGTCCTCTTCCACAATATCTAAGATTATTCTTACCACCAAATGAAGGCAAAATTCTGGTTTTACAGGCTCGAGCCATTGATGAACTAGCAAAAAAGGTCTTTCATGCTCTTAAGACTGACCCAGAGAATTTTGAGTTGGAATTTTCAGAGACAAGACGAAGAACTAGTAGAAGGATCATGAGTGACACTAGGGCTCCATCATATAGCTCAAGTTCTAAGCTTGCAACAAATTTAAGACGCAATATCAAGGCCAATGTATCATCAAAACCTATGCCATCTTTTCTTCCTAATTCTTCAAACCTCAGGAAAGGTGTTAGAGGAATTTGTGGACTTGCTGGTGCTACTACTGATTGCAATGCAAGAGATCATGAAGTGCACTCTGGTAAGAAATAAGTTTTGGGCTTACCATTCTGAATTGAATTTTCTTGGACAGTTGCAGGAGGTCATTTTCAAAATTTCTGGGATGGCCAAGTTCTCGTTTGTTTTCCTGGAGGTTCCACTACATATTTCTTACCCTTATGGCTTTGACCTTTTGAAAATTTCATAAAAACATTTGTCACTTAGATTTGCTTATACCTTGCATGGTTGACTGAAATTTATTTGGTTGAACACATAAATTTAAAACATTTCTGACTGATTTTAATTACTGTTTCTCTAACAGGTGATTTAAATGGTAGGGGAAATAATTTTGCTGAAGTAGATAGACGTTGTACGTATAGACCCTGGACGTCTCTCCACACTGACAATGATTCAATTGTTTCCACAATTTATAGTGATTCAAAACCACTAATTGCTGTAAGTTAGTCTTGCTTCTTTTCTTCTTCCTCTTTTTTTTTGTTTCTCCGCATTGACATATGTTAAACAACTCACTGACAGGTGATGTATGTGTCATTGTTCTGCTTGTAAAATCAAGTCATGTTGAATACCAAGTGCGGTTATTGCAGAGCGTTTGTGTCATATATCTTGATCTAAAATTCTAACAAAAAAACTGTAGCCAGTTATTAGATCACCTGAATGCTCAGTTTTGTTTTTGACATGGTTCTGGATAGTCAAAATTATATCTTCTTTTCTTATACCTTTGTGCTTAGGAGCATTTCTTAACTTTCATCAAGGAGCAGCTGTTCCTTTTACAAAAGATACATGGTGTAAAGGTCCCTTGCTGGTGCATGATTCCTTCCTTTATTCTCTTTTATTCTCGGTGGAGCATCACATAATTCTTATGTTTTTTAATCTGTTTTTTACTTCTGGGGCAACCATAGCTTTTGACCACCATACAAAGCAGTGAGGCACCACCCAAAAGGATGTTTCCAACTGCAAGTGCATTGATGACAGGAGGGGCTACAGAATTTTTGCTTTTGGATGAGAGTTGACCACTTTTTTTCCCTTTTTTTGTAGGTGAATCAGCAGGATATTGGTTACAGAGATAGTTTAATGTTCTTTGTTAAAGATTTAGGACCAACAGCCCAAATGATTGCCAAGCAGAAGTTGATTGGATGCTCGGTTGGCGCTTCTAATTGTTGGACTCCAGGTTCAAAACACTGGTTTCAGGAACCTGAATGTCAAAATCCTAATGAATTTCATTCCACCCAGAGGGGACTGCCTATTCTGGATTCTGCTTTTACTGCAGCATCTGAAAATTTGTTTGACCATCTTCATAGGGGTCCAAATATCTTAGGAACTGCCCATTTTAAAGTGGATTCATCTTATGCTGGTGCAGGAGCGAAGGCTTATGCCTTGGACAAAATGCTTATCCCTAGTGCTTCAGTGGTAGCGGTGTCAAGCAGTGACGAAAAGAAAAGTTCAGTTGCCTTCAAAGGGGATGCTCACTTCAGTAATGCAATGGATGTTTTTGGCCTTTTTGGTTGTGACAGGTTACATCAGGATCAGTGCTCTGAGCTTCAGTTGGGCTCCCATTCTTCCAGTGTTGGCCAAGACATAATTGCACAAGATGAAGTTGAAGTCCGTGGTTCTGTTGAAGCAGACCAAGAGTTAAAAGCAAGCCAACCTAACCGACAGGGTTCTCAGTTCATATTTGATTTGCCATTTCTGAAGACGCGGCTTGATCAGATTAACTCCTCGGGAAAGGATAAACTTTCGCAGCAAGGTTCCAGTATTGAAAGTCCATTTCTGGACGAAGAAGTAAATTGGAAGATGCAATTGGCCTGCAGCCATCACAAGAAGCTTAGCACTCAAAACATACAAAGGTAGTTACAAACAGTTCTCATTGGATGTTCAGCATGGAAATCTGTCTCTCCAGTTGTGAACATTTTAGATGGTGCT